GCGTTGTTTTAGCGCGAATGTTGAAATCAAGTGTACCGTAAAGTTATATTCAGAAAGAATTAATCAGTTTTATTAAGTAAGGACTTGTGTCGCTAAAGTTTCGTCGGAACGAAGTTACGGAAAGTTAATTAACAAACGGAGACGTAACAATATGATTGCCAATAGCACTTTTCGGGTAAAGAGTAGTCCATGAGTTGGCGATGGGTGGAGTAGATTAGCTGCCTTCATTTTAACCTATTACTGTTAAATAAGGGAAGAGTAGTGCAAATAGCCCTCGAATAACTTGGCGAAAAATTCAACGAACAAACAAACACTGTGCTAACACTTTTAACACTATTTTCATAACCACTTCTATTCAAAATAACCATGCATGGCATAATGGTTAGAACACTCGACTCGCATTTCAAATCCTGTTCCCGAACATGTTCACCCTTTCATCCATGGGGCTTATAATATTACGATCAATCTCACTATTCCTTGCCCAATTGTCGCCAATGGGCGGTGCTGACTATATGTATTCCCTCTATGTATTAAGGACAGATAACACAGATAGCCCTCTAGTAGCTTTGATCGAAATTAAAAAACAAACGAATTATCTATCTACTTGGTTTAATAAAAACCAGTTATTTTTGTTTACTTTATCGTTGAAGTGTTTTAATTTCTCCAATAAGTATATCTAAATTACCTTTACCGGATGTAGTCAATATATTTCTAGTCATGAAATGGTGAATAAAAGTTGCACCACGGTTGTATGGTATCTATCCACATAATGGTGCATATTAAAGTTCTACCAGTATTCTGTGCTACATCTGTAACGGTAGATAGAAATGTTGTACCATGGGCCTGTAGTATCAAGCCATGTAAGGGTGGATTAGGAGATAAACTCGTACTTCGCATACGATGTATCTACTGAAATTATTTGACTACTGAATTATTGTTGAGAGAAAAAACCATTCAAAAAAAGATGTAGATGGGATTGAATCCACGACCTTCTGTATACTAAGCGTGTGCTATGCCATATGGGCCAGAGCCCAAAGATTTTTTTCTAATGTTCAGCACTATTAAGATGAATAATGTATATATATGAGAAGGGTATATATATATATATATATTGTAGATAAATCAGTGTAATTATGATAAGCAATCAGTATGCAGTACAAGTAGCCCAAAACATTTAGTGTTGCTTGAACAACAACAACAAAAAAAAACAATAATGTAACTGTGAATGTAATCAGTGGTGTAGTGCTAAATATAAAAAGTAAGGGAATGCGTTTTGAAAGTGTTACTATGATTAGTATTTATTACGTCACCAATACATAAGAACATATATTTCTGAAATAGTAACTGTAAATTGTAATTGTAATTGAAATCTACATTTTAAAATGTTACAATAAAAAATAATTTTCTCTCACCTTGAACTTTTGAATTCCTGGATAACATATTGTTACGTATCTGCTTGTTTGATAATTTCCGGTAAAAATTCTTTCCGAGTGACTTCAGCGATACAAGTCCTTTCTTAATTAAAACTAGTTTATTCTTTCTCGATACATATTTGTAATACAGAGAATTTCCACAGCCACTTTAAACTTAACAACCTTTATAACACACGCTTGACTCAATTATCTATATCTTCAATCTATCTGCATATCTATTCAATCTATGCCCTCGCGCTGGTTTTTCTCGCCAGGCTTATATACTAAAAAACAGGGAACCTGGCAAACACTCAGACATTCGCGAGGTTCCTCAATAAGTCATGATCCTTCTAGAAACTCCAGCGCACATACTCCCAGCGTCGCGTGACTTCCATTGTCGTAACACTGCTCCTTCCTTAGTATTGTTCGTCCCGAACAATAGCCACTTACATTAAACTAATAGATAATTAACAATAACTTAATTAAATGTACAGAATCTACAAACACAAAATTAAGATACAACAAAGTCTCTTAATTTTACAGGA